CCCCAAAACCCCAAAACCCCAAAACCCCAAAACCCCGTTTAAGGATAAATTATTGAATTTAAACTCTCATGATCCAGATTTTACAAGAATGGTCACTCTGTCAATGGTTTCACAGGCTTCTTATAACTGAATGTCGAAGTATGCACATTGTTGCTCAAATGAGCATTCTTTCCTTCAATTAAAAGTGGATTTTCTTGAGAAAACTCTTCAAATCCGTTGTTCATAATATAAATGTTCTCAAAATGCTTTTCAACCAAAAGTTCTGCTGCTTCAATAACACATTTTTCATCTTTATGATAAATGATAATGATCTTATCCTCTTTATTTTTATATTGCCAAATGTTCTTGGTAAATTTATCACGAGCAATATTTGGAGAAGGAAAGCTTATGGCTCCTTTAATATGAGCCATCACATAATCTTCAACATCTCTCAAGTCCAGCAATAGCATTGAAGATGTTGTTTCCATCAGTTCTTCAGTTGGAGCTACTGAAGAAGCTTCAAACTTAGAAGTATTATTTTTCTTTCCCTCCATTGTCTCATAAAAATCTGCATTTGCTTGGAAAATAGATGCAACACTTTCTGTTGTTTTATTTGAGTAGACACTTTCTTGTTCATATCCAGATTTAGCATCCTCTTTCCTTTCTTCCTCAAAGAGATTGTAATGCTGTTTAAGCATGATGCCTCCATAACTGTCTTCATAAAGCCTGTCGTCATCCTCTTCATTATAATCCTAAAATGAGTATATGAAATACCTTCATCATTTTGGCAAGAGTTTGAGGCTTGATCCTTCTATATTTCTCAAATTTTGTCCTTGCGACTATTTTCCTACCTATATTATTATATATCCTGACTGCTTTGAATAGATAAGAGAAGAAAGGAGGATCCATAACATTCTGGAACTAACTTACTCATTCCTGCGGCCAAGATGTCCTTGTCATTGGTGTCTAAGTCCAAAAATGCCTATAACCTTGATTAGTCTCCACCTCAAAATTAAGTGGCTTTATCTTTATAATTTGAGAAATTCAGATGAGTTTGGCAGACTTACAGGTTTTTTATTCAACCTATTTTCCATCTTTTAATATTTTAAATTCGAATTTATTTTATTATTTTTGGGGTTTTGGGGTTTTGGGGTTTTGGGGTTTTGGGGTTTTGGGG